GAATGTGAGATCATATTAGGCACCTCTAATGAATTTATCCCAGACTACCAATGATAATATCATCATTGCCCAAGAGATCATCCACACTCTTAGATTCAAAAAAGGTAAACAAGGTGATATGATTTTCAAAATTGATCTTGAAAAAGCTTACGATAATGTCTCTTGGTCCTTTCTTCATGATACCTTGGTTGACTTTAATCTGAATCCTCATTGGATTGAGCTTATCATGAATTGTGTTACTAAGGTCAATTCCTCTATGTTATGGAATGGGGAAACAGTTCGGGAGTTTAATCTCAAGAAGGGACTCCGTCAAGGAGATCCTTTATCCCTTTATCTTTTTGTTCTTTGTATGGAAAGGTTGTCTAATTTGATCACTTTGAAAGTTAGTAGTGGGGATTGGAAGGGTACTAAGGCTTCTGCTAGGGGACCTGCTATTTCACATTTATTTTTTGCTGATGATCTTCTCCTCTTTGCCAAGGCTGACTCTAGGAATTGTGATACCATCATGGCTGTTTTAAATCAATTTAGCAACTGCTCGGGTTTGAAAATTAACATCGCTAAATCTAAGTTGTTCATTTCTCCAAATGTGCCTACCTCTAAGGCTAGGAGTTTGAGTAGCAATTGTGGTGTTCCCCTCACCCATGATTTGGGTAAATACCTTGGTATACCACTGCTTCATAACAGAGTGAGCAGAGCACACTTTGCTTCCATTTTTGAAAAACTCCAGAGCAGGTTGACTAGTTGGAAAGCGAATATGTTATCTATCATAGGGAGGGCCACCCTCATTAATTCGGTTACCTCTGCCCTCCCGGCGTATATGATGCAATCTATGGACTTACCTGTGAGAGTGTATAAGGACATGGATAAACTGAACCGGAATTTTTTATGGGGTGATGTGGGCACCTCCAAAAAGATTCATTTAGTGAATTGGGATACGGTGTGCAATAGTAAGAAATCTGGTGGGCTTGGCATTCCGAAGGCCAAGGATAGTAACATTGCTTTACTCTCTAAATTGGGTTGGAAACTCCTTAGTGGGGAGTCCTGTTTATGGGCTAAAGTTCTCGAAAATAAATACCTTTACAGGGACTCCCTGCTCAACTATTCTAGTAAGAGAAAAGCTTCTCTCACTTGGAGGGGCATTCTTAAAACCCGTGACATTCTCGTCAAGGGTAGTAAATGGTGTATTGGCAATGGTTCTAATGTATCCATATGGTAAGATTGGTGGTGTGGGGAGTGCAGTTTGGCCTCCTTATTTCCTAATTCTCACCTCATTAGCTTGGAAAAAGTGGATACTCTCTTAGATAAGGAAGGTAGATGGGATGTGGGTGTTATATCTGTTAAGTTGCCTAGGGAAGCTTGGGATCTTGTTTTGAAGGTGAAGCTTCCTAGGTTTGTAACTTATCCAGATATGCCTCATTGGAAGGGCTTGAGATGTGGTGCTTTCACTACTGCTTCGGCTTTTGAGTTGGTGACTGATCAGGGAGCTAATTCTGGGAATTGGCTCTGGTTATGGAAATTGAAAATCCCTCAAAAACTCAAAGGCTTTGTTTGGCTGGCATTGCATCAGAAGTTGCTAACCAACAGCCTAAAAGTTACTAGAGGAATGTCAAACTCAGCTTTATGTAATAATTGTGGTGATCAGGTTGAAGACTTGAATCATATCTTCAGAAATTGTCCCAAAGCAAGATCTATTTGAATTGGTTTGAATTGTGGTACTTGGTTGTTTAATTGCAGGAATTTTTCTTTTAAAATTTGGGTGGAGTTCACTTTAAAGTCTAAATCTCATCCTTTTATTGAGCCCACTTTTTTTGTTACCTCATTGTGGCAAATTTGGAAAAATAGGAACCTTAAGATTTTTGAGAATGTTGAATTGCCTTGGCAGCATAGTATCCACATTATACATAGATATGCAACTGATATTAAAGATGCTTTTAATATATCCATTGTGAACAGTTTGGATGATGAGCTAATTAGCTGGTCTCTTCCTCTTCCAGGTAAATTGAAGATGAACACGGATGGAAGCTCCAAGGGAGATCCAGGTGATGATGGCTTTGGGGGACTAATCCGGGATGTGAAAGGCATTTGGCTTTATGGGTATTTCGGGAAGCTTACAAATTGCACCTGCATTGAGGCGGAGATCTAGGCACTATACAGGGGTTTGACGATAGCTTTCGAGAAAGGCTATAAGGATCTTAGCATCGAAACAGACTCCCAATATGCTATTGATATGCTAAAGGGGAACATTGAGGTTACTTCCCCATTGAGAAGTCTAGTGGAGGATTCCAAGTTTCTCATCCGTCGATGTGGGTTTTCGATTCAACATGTCAAAAGGGAGGGCAACAACAGTGCTGATGGTCTTGCAAAATTAGGAGCAAATCAAAATGAAATGTTGGTTGTTATGGATGACCCTCCGAAAGAAATTCGCGGTCAACTAATGGCGGATATGGTTGGTCAGAGTTATCTCAGAACTCGTTCTGGGGGTTCTTAGTTTTTCTTTTTCTTTTTTCTGTTTTGTTGTTGTTTTTCCTTTTCCGTTGTACCAAAAAAAAGTCAATCAAAAAGGCCTCAAGTTTTTTTCCTTTTTTTCTTTTGTGTGTGTGCGCGCGTTTTTATTAGGCTTAATCAGGTATATTTTTCTTGTATAGCCTTTAAACAAAAATGTTTTATTTAGTATTTATTATTACCAATATTCTAATACAATTTTTTTTAAAGCAAGTAATTTGAATATAATAGTTGCGGGCTAAATAAATCCGGCCCGTTCCATTAATGATCCTTAATTGTTGATAACTTAATAGTCTAAAACAAAAAATATATATATTTATATATATTGATAATTAACTCTATGGGTGTTTGAAAAGTTATTATTTTAGTAGGTTATTTTAGTTTTTTGTTATTTTAGTAGGCTAAAATTTTTGTGTTTCGGGAGATAGTTGGGTTTTTTTGTAATTAAATGTGATGCTTATGAGAGAAAAAGTGAAATGATTATGAATTTGATGTGACATTTTATCTTATTAACTATTTTAACCTCTTTTATCTTTTGTAAATTTTAGCCTAAAAAAAAGCTAAAATCTACCTTCCCAAACACTCCCATACTGAAGAACAGATGGAACTCGACTGAACCCATCTCTAGTGACTACTAGTTAGTGATGGAGAGAGAGAGAGAGAGAGCATAAGATAAACGTCTCCTTGGATTGTTTGTTGATCAAAAGGCGTATGTGTGGCGTTGAAGTCTCCAACAGTTGAGGACTTGGATCAGGGCCGGCCCTGAGATTTGTGGGGCCTAAGGCAAACTATGAAAATGGGATTCCTCTAATATATTTTTTTTAGTAAGGCTCTTCAATTACCAAATCTTCATCATCATTGTCATTTGAACCCAAAATATCTACTTGTTTCTTGGTACCAAAATATTTATCAAGTGCTCCCGATTGAGATTGAATTCATTGTTCTACTTTCATCCTCTTCTTTCTCTTTTCATTTCCAGAACTATACTTTCTAGGAAACATGGCTATAATCACAAACACTTCAATCCACAAATGACAAATACTTCAAATCAATCCATAAATCACAAACACTTCAATCCACAAATCACAATCCACTGATCTGATAGGAAATAAATATATAAAAAAAATTTAATAAAACAAAATTAGGACAAAAAATTTATTCAATTAAAACTGATAAATACCTAGGTAAAAAAATTAGGGCTAAATTATTTATTCCACTAAAATCTAATGGATAAAGAAGGTAAAAAAAAATTAGGGCAAATTTATTATTCCACTAACTGATAGAGAAAGAATGTAGAAAAAAAATTAGGGAAACTTTATTTAATAAAATCTGATAGTGAGAGAGAGGATTTACCATGAGAGAGAGTGTGTGAGAGAGAGTGAGTTGCCGGAGGAGTGAGTGAAAGAGAAAGAGTGAGTCGCTCACAACAATGCTGTGCTCTGCGTCTACTTTGCCTTGAACTTGGTACATATTGCCATGATCTTCATTTCATTACTTCGTTAAAGAGAGAGAGATTGAAAGCAAAACAGTGCACTGAAGTGAAAGTGATGTTGTATATAGTGTATGTATGGTTTGGGTTGGGCCCAAACACTTCTTCTGTTTTTGTTTTTTTTTATTTTTTATATGTTTTCATTTTAATAAATATGGGCCAAACATATTTATAAATAAATATGGACTAAATTTTACATGGGCCCAATAAAACATTTTGAGACCCTTTAAATTGATCTTTAAAAAAAAAAAAAAGATTGAGCCTATAACAATTTATTAAATTTGGAAATCCTATTTTTGAGTCAAAATTTGGGGCTTGAGGCACAAGCCTTACCTGCTTTGGGTCAGCCCAAATCTCAACGCAAGTTTGAGTAATTTACCTAAATATTTATTCTTAAATTATTTTAACAATGAATGTTCTTCCGTTAATTTGGAAGATGTTCTGATATGGATGGAGGAGGTTCCCCCTTCCTTATTGCATCTTGTGAGCTCTGAGGTTGCTGGTCTTTCGGTTTGATATTTTTCTGTCTAGCCTATATCAATCTAAAAAAAATAATAATGAATGTTCTTCCATTCTCACTCCCACTCACGAATCAGTTTCTTAAAATTTGACTCCCTATCCTCATCAAGTTTTCAACAATTTAAAATCAACGAAAATTTTAGACCACACCACAATATAGACTATACGAACTTCATTAATAATGTAAATAAAAAAAAATTGTGTTTGATTTGAAGAGTTTTCACCGTTCAATTTTATCATAATTGTGAACCAATTGAAATCAATTGAAAACCAAACATGCTAATCAAATGATTAAAAATTGTTTCATCATAATGTTCTAATTTTTTATAAACTCATGAATCTCAAAGAAACCAGTCATATGATCGACCTTGATTTTGCCATGCATCGATGTATAACAGCTATTCATAGAAAGAGAAATTAAAAAGGAACTAAATTCTTGAATCTTCAACTTGTATTTTGAGAGATTCTAAGTCAAGAGAGAAAGATAGTCTTAAGTCTTTAACCTTTCTCCTTATTCACCCTTATTTGATCAATAGGTTCATTAATACTAAACAACAATTTCAACAAGATATACATGCAAAATAAGCTTTGGAAAAAAGATCTACAGAAATCGATCAAAAAAATTAGACACAAATCTCTTATATGAAATGGATCTTACACTTTTAAGATCCCACTTCTATATAAGAAAATTGTGTCATGCTCTGTGATTAATTTCTGTATTTTTAATAGAACAAATAAGCTTTTTCTCCTATATAGCCACCCTAACATTGTGTTCAAGAAACAATGGATGACCCGACATGGACATTAAAATTGGGAATCACCGGCGGAGGACTTGCCGGATCGCAGTGGCCACCTTGATCGAAGGAGATGAGTGTTGGATTGTAGTATTCAACAATGTTATTATGTTCCTTAAATTTCAGACCCTTTGATTTCGAAGGTGATGGTTCTTTCATGATAGAGCCACATTGTCTAGGTTGTGTTTGGTAGAAAACCTTTGAAACCACTAACTCTCCATCTCTCTCGTCTTCGTTGTTGCCAAGGTGGTACTGATGCATAACCCAGTTTGTTTTCTCTGGTTTTCTTTGTTTTCCATAGTTGGTGTAGAGAACGAGTATCTTCTTATGACCTTTCACTTTGCCATTAATGAAAACAGGCCTTGTCTTGCCTGTTTTGTGCCAACGAGTCTCGTTGCCATCTATGTCTGTGTGTACTTTTCTTCGCTTTCTTGTTCCGGTGGTGTATGCTTTGGATGGCCTGTGGAAGAAATGTCGGATTAACCCATCTTTGCTTACTCCTGCATGATAACAACAATAAGAATGGAGTCTTTCAATGGTTTGATCATACAATTGATAATTTTTTTTATTCTGTTTGGAGATGCAAGGTAACCAACGGTCTAATTTTATTTTGTGATAATATAAATTTTTGCGGAAAAGAAAAAAAAATTCATTAAAATTGCTCTCATGATTCTTTTTTAAAAGATAAATATAATAAAATGAAAAAATTACGATTATGAAATTAATCATTAATTTTTTTTGTAAATGATATATATATGTGGAGGGCCTTAGGGAAAAAAAATACAAAAAAAATAGAACCCTTAGCCCAAAAATATGGTCAAGTTTATACTTGTACTTGGGAGAAGTTCAACCCATATAAATTTTATATAAAAATTTATTTTTATATTATTATTTATTATTACCCATAGAAAAATTATTCACAATAGAATTTGAATACAAATTTTTTATTCAGAATGATGTGACAGTAACATTTTTATAATTATGAGCTATAATAATAAATATTTTCACTTAAAATATGAAATTAAGAAATTCTCACAATCATGTATGAAATTTCAAATAATGATTTTTAATTTTTCCAAAAGTATATAAACTGAGGCATGGCTCGTCTATGATTTACAAAAAGCAATAAAATAGAAACCATGGAAGATCTCATTTTCATTTTCCCTCCTTTATGGTACACGATCTACCCAAAAAAATGATTAAAAAAAGAAGAAAAGAAAGATGAAAACCAAGAAAAGTGTGACATGTCAAATTCATGAAACCCCACGGGAGTTTGAGTAATTTACCTAAATATTTATTCTTAAATTATTTTAACAATGAATGTTCTTCCGTTAATTTGGAAGATGTTCTGATATGGATGGAGGAGGTTCCCCCTTCCTTATTGCATCTTGTGAGCTCTGAGGTTGCTGGTCTTTCGGTTTGATATTTTTCTGTCTAGCCTATATCAATCTAAAAAAAATAATAATGAATGTTCTTCCATTCTCACTCCCACTCACGAATCAGTTTCTTAAAATTTGACTCCCTATCCTCATCAAGTTTTCAACAATTTAAAATCAACGAAAATTTTAGACCACACCACAATATAGACTATACGAACTTCATTAATAATGTAAATAAAAAAAAATTGTGTTTGATTTGAAGAGTTTTCACCGTTCAATTTTATCATAATTGTGAACCAATTGAAATCAATTGAAAACCAAACATGCTAATCAAATGATTAAAAATTGTTTCATCATAATGTTCTAATTTTTTATAAACTCATGAATCTCAAAGAAACCAGTCATATGATCGACCTTGATTTTGCCATGCATCGATGTATAACAGCTATTCATAGAAAGAGAAATTAAAAAGGAACTAAATTCTTGAATCTTCAACTTGTATTTTGAGAGATTCTAAGTCAAGAGAGAAAGATAGTCTTAAGTCTTTAACCTTTCTCCTTATTCACCCTTATTTGATCAATAGGTTCATTAATACTAAACAACAATTTCAACAAGATATACATGCAAAATAAGCTTTGGAAAAAAGATCTACAGAAATCGATCAAAAAAATTAGACACAAATCTCTTATATGAAATGGATCTTACACTTTTAAGATCCCACTTCTATATAAGAAAATTGTGTCATGCTCTGTGATTAATTTCTGTATTTTTAATAGAACAAATAAGCTTTTTCTCCTATATAGCCACCCTAACATTGTGTTCAAGAAACAATGGATGACCCGACATGGACATTAAAATTGGGAATCACCGGCGGAGGACTTGCCGGATCGCAGTGGTCACCTTGATCGAAGGAGATGAGTGTTGGATTGTAGTATTCAACAATGTTATTATGTTCCTTAAATTTCAGACCCTTTGATTTCGAAGGTGATGGTTCTTTCATGATAGAGCCACATTGTCTAGGTTGTGTTTGGTAGAAAACCTTTGAAACCACTAACTCTCCATCTCTCTCGTCTTCGTTGTTGCCAAGGTGGTACTGATGCATAACCCAGTTTGTTTTCTCTGGTTTTCTTTGTTTTCCATAGTTGGTGTAGAGAACGAGTATCTTCTTATGACCTTTCACTTTGCCATTAATGAAAACAGGCCTTGTCTTGCCTGTTTTGTGCCAACGAGTCTCGTTGCCATCTATGTCTGTGTGTACTTTTCTTCGCTTTCTTGTTCCGGTGGTGTATGCTTTGGATGGCCTGTGGAAGAAATGTCGGATTAACCCATCTTTGCTTACTCCTGCATGATAACAACAATAAGAATGGAGTCTTTCAATGGTTTGATCATACAATTGATAATTTTTTTTATTCTGTTTGGAGATGCAAGGTAACCAACGGTCTAATTTTATTTTGTGATAATATAAATTTTTGCGGAAAAGAAAAAAAAATTCATTAAAATTGCTCTCATGATTCTTTTTTAAAAGATAAATATAATAAAATGAAAAAATTACGATTATGAGATTAATCAATAATTTTTTTTGTAAATGATATATATATGTGGAGAGCCTTAGGGAAAAAAAAAATACAAAAAAATAAAAAAAAATGGAACCCTTAGCCCAAAAATATGGTCAAGGTTATACTTGTACTTGGGAGAAGTTCAACCCATATAAATTTTATATAAAAATTTATTTTTATATTATTATTTATTATTACCCATAGAAAAATTATTCACAATAGAATTTGAATACAAATTTTTTGCTCCCAATTAGTGTCTTTTCCAAAACCAATCCAAACAGTTTTCAACCTGTTTTGCACCGGACAGGTTCAGTTCTTCCCAAACAGGTTTAAAACTGCCAGCAGTTTCTAGCAGATTAAAACTACGTAGCAGTTATCTATTCAAAACAGTGTTGCACCTATTTTGTTTGAATTCAGATCTGTTCATTTGAATTATGCACCTATTGACTTCTATCTGCACCTGTTCGGATATGTCCAACAGGTTCCAAGTTGCCTATAAATTTAGAATAATTCCAGCAGTTTTGGATATCTTGAAATCCAGAAAAATTCATTTGCTCTTCCCGCTTTTGCTCTCTTTTGCATTATTCTTCATATTATTTTTTAGGAAAAAATTCAAAGAGTATAGAACACAGGTTTGGTTCGCCATACAAATTGTTTGGAGTGCTACTACAATTTATGAAGATCATTGTATCCTGGGAGATAGCCTTTTATCTGTAAGAACCATAGCAGGGTGAATCTGTCTTAAGGACAGAGTGTCACACACTCGACTTGATCGATTTTATTATTTTTCATTTCGGTAAAATAAATTTTGTAAGTAATTTATTTTATTTGTTTGATTTGTTTCAACTTATTTATTTTACACAAAAGATTACTCCAACAATCTTAAGATAGATTCGAATTATTCTATTTATACAGAATTTTTCGTTTGTTTTCTTTTCTTGTTTTCTTCTTCTTACAGAAATTATTTTCTATGGTTTTACAAAATAATATTCTGATTGGAAAAACAAATAGTAGTAATATACTGTTTATTTTCTTTGACAACTAGTAGTAATATACTGGTGTCATTAACAATTCAGAATATTTATTTGTGAAATTGGTCAAAAATTAATTTTGGTTTTTAGAAATAATTTCTAAGTTTTCATTATTTAAAATTCTGTTTCAGTATTTTAATTTTTGAAGTGTTACAGAAATTTAATTTTCTAAGTGGAATTAATTTGTTTAAATAAAATTTTATTTTATTTTCAAGTTAATTGGAAATAAAAGTTACAATTCTTGTTTATTTTATTTTTACAGAATTAAAATTCTCTGTTTATGGTTTAAATTTTCTGTGTAGTATAAAATTCTAATTATAATTTTATTTTATAATTTAGAATTCATGCCTATTGAAACTGGTCAAACTAATGCTCAAACAAGTACTAGTGTGGTTAGGGGTGTGCGCGGTGCGGTTCGGGAGTAAAATTATAAACCGAATGGCGGGTTAGCAGATTGACAAATTGTGGTTTGGGCTGTTTTTGGCAGATTGACGAATTGAAGAATATTTTAGCTAATTATCATACATTTGCATAATATACAACACTAATTTGTATAATATTTTTTAGCTATATAACACAAATTAACTTTACATAATATGTTTTATATCTATAATCACTAATTTGTAATAAATTTCATATCTTAAATATCTCTCACACTCATTTTTACATTGATATTTCATTGAAAATTAAAAAATATATATGTATTAACTATAGCGGAGAGGAGCGGTTTGATTGGCGGATTATAAATTTTAAAGTTTAAACCGCGATTAGCGGTTAGAGGTGCGATTTTAGCAGATTGGGCGGCATTTTGAACAGCCCTAAGTGTGGTGGTTGCAATTGCCCCAACCCCTCTTGTTGTGACTGTGCCAGTTAATCACGGTGAAAAGCCGGAGAAGTTCTCAAGAACTGATTTTAAAAGATGGCAACAGAAAATGTTGTTCTATCTTACTACTCTCAACCTGGCACACTTTCTTTGTGAGGATGCTCCTATTCTGAAAGAAGATGAAATCGACCGGCAAGTGGTTACTGCGGTCGATGCTTGGAAACATGCTGATTTTCTTTGCCAGAACTACATTTTGAACAGACTTGACAACACATTATATAACGTCTACAGTCCTATCAAAACAGCAAAGGAACTTTAGAAGTCTTTTGAGAAAAAGTACAAAACAGAAGATGTTGGCTCAAAGAAATTTGTGGTTGGTAAATTCCTGGACTTTGTGATGGTTGATTCTAAGACTGTGATCAGCCAAGTTCAAGATCTCAAACTCATTCAGCATGATATTCATGCAGAAGACATGTCTCTCAATGAATCCTTCCAAGTTGCTGCCTTAATTGAGAAATTACTACAAGGCTAGAAGGAATTCAAGAATTACCCCAAACACAAGCGCAAAGAAATGTCTTTGGAGGAATTAATTGTGCGTTTGAGGATTGAGGAGGACAACCTGTCACGACCCAAACCTGCCCCTATAGGTTTAGCATCGTAACCGGCCAGTAATCCTTGGATTACCGAAGGCCTCTGAACAGATTAACAAGATTAAGGGGCTAGCGGAAGCAAATGCATAAATATAGTTG